AAGGAAGGAAGGAAGGAAGGAAGGAAGGAAGGAAGGAAGGAAGGAAGGAAGGAGAAAAAGAGCAATAACGTTTAGACATATACCACTTTACAGTCCAATTTCCAATTTCCAATTTTAATAGATTTGTATGCCGCCCAATCCCGAAGGACTCCGGGCGGCTTACGTAAAAACAGTTTAAAAGCATTTTAAAAAGTTTAAAATACAGGACAGAAACGAGTTAAAAGAAGGACACAACATGCACTCGATCTTAATGGGGCTGAAGGTCAATCTAGATCAACAGCCCCAGGCCTGCCGGAACAGCCAGGTCTTAACAGACTTACGGAAGGCCAAGAGAGTGGGGAGGGTCTGGATCTCAGGGGGTAGATCGTTCCAGAGGGCCGAGGCAGCTACAGAGAAGGCTCTCCCCCAAGGAGCCGCCACACGACACTGCGTAGTCGACGTTACTTGGCGAAGGTCCGCCCTGTGCGATCTTACTGGGCGTTGGGAGGTATATTGCAGGAGACGGTCACGGAAATATCCAGGTCCTAGGCCATGTAGAGCTTTAAAGGTAATAACCAGCACCTTGAAGCGTGTTCGGAGACCAATAGAGAGCCAGTGCAGCTCGCGGAGGATAGATGTAACGTGGGTGTACCTAGGTACACCCAATATCACTTGCGCGGCTGCATTCTGGACCAATTGTAGTCTCCGAACACTCTTCAGGGGCAGCCCCATGTAGAGCGCTTGCTAGAAGAGTTATTGCCATCAGATGTGGTGATGCCCACTGATTTGGCCGTTTAAAAAGAGCCTGGGTAAATCTGTAGAGGGTCAGGGCTAGCCATGATTTAGCCATGGTTCTGATATTTCAGAATACATTTAATTGGCCACTGTAGAAACTAGAATGCTGGTAAATATATTTTTACATTTCTGTGGTGTATGGATTTGAACATCAAGCTAACACAGCACACTAAATCTTTGCTTGTTTCAGTAGGGCATGTCAACCTAACAATGCAATTAGATAATGCTTCCATCTGCCAGATGGATGGGCAGGATTTATGCACACTAGGTATCAGGCCTGGAAGCCATCTTTTACCTTTTGGATTTCAGGCCTGCTACATTTTCTACCATGGGAAAATGGGAGGGGGGGATTATACAGTGTGTTGGTGATATGTAGCCATAACAACATTCTTTCTCAGAAAGTCAAGGTCGACTGGTCCTGGAACTGTGATGAGATGACTGGGAGGCATCTCCATTTGGGACAGACCATGTGACGGACATGTGGGTGCTTGAACTTTCTTTTGGGTGGGGAAAACCTGGAACCTTTCAGTTTCGGGTTTTCCCAGGTGTGCCAATATGACATCTCTAATAAAATGGAACTTTGAGGAGAGCCTCGGAGTCTTCTTTCATTTGGGGTGTTACTTGGAACCCTGACAGCAACCTGAATCCCTTCTAAAGAACTCTACCAGCTGTTCCAAACTTCAGGGTTTTGTTGATTTTTGCCATTCTTTATTGGTTTCTGGGTGGAAAAAAACCCATTCAAATGAACGGGGTTGCTTAGCAACCAAGATGTTCATTTGAACATCTTGAAAAAAAGCCAGAAATTTACTTCTGGTCATGTGGGTGCCCCAACTTATGATCATAACTATAATTTATGTTTATAAATTATATAAGTCGTATAACTTAGGATCAACCCCATAATTCTAGGCTCCATTATGGTCATAAGTTGATTCCCTGTAAAACCATTATGATAAATAAATGTTTAAGATATTTTTGAAAAGTTTTGTTCTATTTTGTTAAAATATTCATGACTGAGAGAGACATAGGAACAAGGTCGGCCAATGAATAGTCATAGCAACTAGGTCAGCCAATGGGAGCTTAAACAGATCTGAGTCTGTGTACAGAATTGAAACAGAAACTTAAGCAGTCTGCTGCTCTGAGAAGTAAACAAGCAGTCTGTCTGGGCTTGTCTGCTGATATGAAACTAGCTGCTTGTGTTTGCCAGTAACTCTTCTGCCTTGTGTTTACTTGGAATAACCACTTGTTGGTATTGTATTGTTGGTATTGTTGGTATTAAGGAAGTTAATGAATCCAGCTAAATCAGTTATCTGTGTGTGCTTTCTGGATTTAAATTTATGCAACAAACTTTGACATATTTCCATGGGGAAAAATGGGGCATTTCAGAGCCCAGAGCCATTATAGCTAGCGATAAGCTTTTTTCTTTATTGAGGAGGTTTCCTCAACTTGGTCAAAAGTCAAAAGTTTCCTCCATTGCAAAATAGCACCAATCCTGAGCCAAAAGGACCACACATTCTAACCCAGGTAGGACCCCCTGCCCCTGATCTTACTTCTGGCCTGGGATTCCAAAGCCGTACCACGGGATCAATGCCACTGGTAGCCAGGAAGCAGTAGCTCGGGTGAGGCTGGAGGCAGTTCACAATCGACTCATCGCCCTGCAGCACTCGAACCAGATTAGTTGTTTCTTTCTCCCAGATAAAGAAGGAACCATCATCGGAGCCACTGATGATGTACTGCGCATTGCTAGGAGGTAGCCAAAAAGAGCATGGTTAGTGATTGGTTACATTTATATCCTGAGTTTTCTACGAGATGCACAAAGCGTTTCCTTCTCCCTCAAACCCCATGACACTGAGTACTACCAATTAAACAACACTTAAACTTATATACAGGGACACGGTGGCTCAGTGGCTAAGACACTGAACTTCTTGATCAGAAACATCGGCAGTTTGAATCCCCAGCACTGCGTAATGGAGTGAGCTCCCATTACTTGTCCCAGCTTCTGCCAACCTAGCAGTTTGAAAGCACGTAAAAATGCAAGTAGAAAAATAGGGACCACTTTGGTGGGAAGGTAATAACATCCTATGCTCCTTCGGGGTTTAGTCATGCTGGCCACATGACCACGGAGACATCTTCGGACAGCGCTGGCTCTTCGGCCTTGAAGCAGAGATGAGCACCGCCCCCTAGAGTTGGGAATGACTAGCACATATGTGCGAGGGGAACCTTTACTTTTGCCTTTTAAATTAGTTAAGTTACCATATTTTTCAGAGTATAAGACGCACCCTTTTTCCTCTAAAAAGAGGCTGAAAATCTGGGTGTGTCTTATACACCAAATACAGCATTTTTTGCCTCCCAAAGCCCCCCCCCCTTCACCAAAGTGGCCGTGCATACCCTTATGGAGGCTTTCAGAGAGCTCCTGGGGGTAGGAGAGGGCAGAAATGAGCGAAAAATGGGCCAGTTTTTTTGCCCCCCTCAGCCCTCCAGCAGCACTCTATAAGCCTCCGTAAGGCTATGCATGCAATTTTTTTGACATTTTTTGTGAAAAATGGGCCATTTTTTTTTTGTTCATTTTTTGTCCCCACTCCACCCCTCAGGAGCACTCTGCAAGTCCACTCAAGGCTATTCATGCCTTTAAAAAAAAAACAGGCCGTTTTAGGGAGGTTTGCAGAATGCAAAAACTTTTTTTTCCTCTTTCGGAAAGAGTGATTGATGAGAATTACATTGGTCAAGTGCTGTGCCAGCAGAAACAAGTCTTAGGTGCTGTAGATTGTTAGTGATGTCCTTCTCCAGCACATGGATAAATACACCTGGAAACATCTACCTACCTACCTACTCTCTCTCTCCCTACCTATCTAGTGTATTTCTCTCCCTCTCTCTCTATTTCTCTCTATCCCTCTACCTACCAACCTACCTACTCTCTCTCTCCCTACCTATCTACTGTATTTTTCTCTCTCTCTATTTCTCTCTCTCTATCCCTCCACCTACCTATCTACCTACACACATTCTCTCCCCCTACCTACCTACTGTATTTCTCTCCCCCCCTCTATCTACCTATATACCTACCTACTTTCTCTCTCTCTCCCTACCTATCTACTGTATTTCTTTCTCTCTCTCTCTCTATTTCTCTCTTTATCCCTCTACCTACCTACTTTTCTCCCTCTCTCTCTCTCTCTCTCTCCCTGTATCTACCTACTTACCTAATTACTCTCTCTCCCTACCTACCTACTGTATTTCTCTTTCTTTCTCTCCCTCTCTCTCCCTCTACCTATCTACCTACTTTTTTAAAAAAATTGCTTCTTCAAAACCTGGGCGCGTCTTACACTCCGGTGTGTCTTATACTCTGAAATATACGGTACTTTTTTTCACTCAGAGCAGTAATTTTAGGTTTTTAGATTTAGGATTACGTACGATTTAGGTTTTAAATTATGAGTTCCGGAACTTATCAGTATTTGCGGATGCTGTGGGAGTATGTTTTTTAAAAAGCCCCCAGAAGGAATTTGTGGAAACAGCAACACCAAACAAAAAACACCCCTACCCCTTGGTCTTGAAAGGAGGCTCCCTACCTGCCGAAGAAGTTCGCCTCTTTGATGTCTGTGGTGGTGTTGCAGTGGCCGCAGTATCTGAATTTGTAATCGTAGCTGCGCTCCCTCAGCACCATTTCGTCCTCCGATATGGAATCCTTGCGGCCAGTTGCTCGCAGCCAGATGGGGCCACTCCCTTTCTTGTCTTCGCCTGGAGAAAATGGAATTGATAAATTACATTTCTTTTGGGATCTTTGGGGAGATACCGACGATGTGAGTCACAGGAAAGCGAGAAGGGAGGCACTCTTAAAAAAAAAAAAAGTAGCGTATTTTTCGGATTATAAGACACACCAGAGTGTAAGACGCACCATGATTTTGAAGAGGTAAATTTTTTAAAAAAGTTTTTGCATTCTGCAGGACTCCCAAACCCTCTGCACATCTCATTTTTTGCAAAAAAAGAAAAGAAAAGAAAAGGGGCATGTAGAACTTTGGGAGGCTTGTACAGCGCTCCTGGGGGTGGTAAAAACGAGCAAAAACGGCCCATTTTTTGCTTGTGTTTGCCTTCCCCAGCCACAGGAGCACTTTGTAAGCTTCCCAAACCCTCTGCACATCTACTTTTGCAAAGGGAGCGGGGTTTCGGGAGGCCAAAAATGCTGTATTCAGTGTATAAGATACACCCAGATTTTCACCCTCTTTTTTGAGGGAAAAAAGTGCATCTTATACTCCGAAAAATACGGCAATAATTGAAGAGACCTGCAAATAGAAAGAATGTGGTCAAAGAAAACAGGCAGTAACAGGTCGTCCTCGACTAACGACCACAATGGAGTCCAAAATTTCTATTGTTAAGTGAGGCATTTGTTACGTGCCCCATTTTACGACCTTTCTTGCCTCACTTGTTAAGTGAATCACTACAGTTAATAAAGTTAGTCCCTCGGTTGTTAAAGATTTGTTTGAGTTGACCTCATTTGCTAAGTAATATCATTATGTAAAATATATATTACCTGCTTATGCAAACCACACCAATTTATGCAAAAAATTCCTGCAATTTTATACCAGTGCAAAAGCTATCAGAATATCCAAATTTAATTCATTACAGGTAGTCTTCGACGTACGACCACAATGGAACCCAAAATTTCTGTTGTTAAGCGAGGCATTTGTACAGTGCCCCATTTTACGACCTTTCTTGCCTCCATTTGTGAAGTGAATCATTACAGGTAGTAGTCACCCGGTTGTTAAGTGAATGTGGCTTTGTTTTTCAGAAGGAGATCACATGACTCTTGGACACTGTAATGGTCATAAATATGAACCAATTGCCAAGCATCTGAATTTTGATCACATGACCATAGGGATGCTTGCAAAGGTGGCAACGGTGAAAAACAGCAATAGCACTTATACTTATATACCACTTTACAGTGCTCTACAGCCCACTCTAAGCATTTGCAGAGTCATCCCACTGCCCCCAACAATCTGGGTCCCCATTTTACACACCTCGGAAGGATGGAAGGCTGAGTCAACCTTGAGCCTGGTGAGATTTGAACTGCCAAATTGCAGGCAGCCGGCAGTCAGCAGAAGTGGCCTGAAGTGCTGCACTCTAACAACTGCACCACTGTGGCTCATAATTAAACTTTGGTTAATAGATTGACATTCTGTATACTCTCAGCTAATCTGTCTTCTCAACAAACCTTTGTTAAAACATGCTGATTTAGTATCATTTTATGGACCTACTCTATCTATCTAAGAGACTCTACTCTGGAAAAAGCTCTCTATTATCTCAGGAAGTCTTCTATGTCACTTACAAGTAACTTCTCCGTTTAATTCTGAAAGCTGACCCTTGAACCTTCTCAAGTCCCTGCCTTAAACTATGAGTCTGCTTAGTCCTTCCAGCAGATCTTTCATCATGAGTTATTTTGCATTTGCTTTTAACGCCATGTACCTTAGCAATAGCAATAGTACTTAGACTTATATATCGCTTCATAGTGCTTTTACAGCCCTCTCTAAGTGGTTTACAGAGTCAGCATGTTGCCCCCAACAATCTGGGTCCTCATTTTACCCACCTCGGAAGGATGGAAGGCTGAGTCAACCTTGAGCCTGGTGAGATTTGAACTGCCGAACTGCTGGCAGCCACCCCAGTCGCAAAACAACTGCTGTAAAGTCGAGGAGTCCCTGTCCAGTAATGTTCCCAAACAATTCAAGACTCCGAGGCCTTGGCTTCCTCAAAAATCCTGTTTATTGTGTACATCCTATCGGCAAACCAAAAGGTCAAACCAACTGAATAATTCCTGTGGTTTTGGTATAATTAAAGAATAGATACTGTCCATCCCGCCCTTGTGCCACATTTCACATTAGCTAACCATGCCGTTGCTAGGGCACGTTGATTTGGCCTTGGTTCTCAGGAGCCTTATCATTTGTTGTGTCTGGCACAGTGGAGGAAAACATTCTGCATTCCATAAGTCCCCCTTCCGCCCATAAGTATGGCAACTAAGAAATGAAGCAAGAAAAATTATGGCTTCAGCTAGAGTGGTTGTAGCAATAATCATAGATGCCATCCCAAAGCAACTGGAGCACCACTTGAACATCATCGGCATTGGCAAATTCACCATCAATCAATTGCAAAAGTCAGCTTTACTTAGCTTACATCCTGTGATGATACCTCTAACACCAGGAAACACCTGCCTATTCCAGGTCCTTGGAAAAGACTGGACAGGTGGGTAAAAATGCCAAATCCAGTCTGAACATCTAGCTGGTTGTGTTAGAATAACACAATAATTTGATTTCACAGGAACACTTTTCTATACAATCCTTTTTTCCCCAACTAATTTACGGAACAAAAATTGTAATAGAGCCACTTCACTAAAGTCATACAGTGAATTCAAGGCGGAGAAGGAGTGTGAATTTAGGACTTTCTGATCCAAACTATCACTATTCTCATCAGTTTCTTTTCTAAAGCTATACACTAGTCTAAGCTCATGGCACTAAATGATCAAACTGTTGATTTTTTCTTCTTCAGATTTTAAATAGCTGATCCCCACCCACTAATGCTGCCATCTAGATCAGAATTTTAGAATAACAGTGTTGGAAGGGACCTTAGGCAGGAAACTCTACACTACTACAGACAAATGGGTATCCAACATCTTAAAAACGTCCAGTTTTGGAACATTTACAACTTCTGAAGGAAAGTTGTTCCACTGATTAATTGTTCTGTCAGGAAATTTCTGCTTAATAAGTTGCTTCTCTCCTTGATTAGTTTCCACCCACTGCTTCTTATCCTGCCCTCAGGTGCTTTGGAGAAGTTTGACTCCCTCTTCTTCGGGGCAGCCCCTGAGATATCAGAACACTGCTATCATGTCCACGCTAGTCCTTTTTTTTCATTAAACTAGACATGATAGCAGTGTTCTTCATTTGTTTTAGCCTCCAGTCCCCTAATCATCTTTGTTGCTCTTCTCTGCACTCTTTCTAGAGTCTCAACATCTTTTTTACATCATGGCAACCAAACTGAATGCAGTATTCCAAGTGTGGCCTTACCAAGGTCTTATAAAGTGGTATTAACACTTCACGTGATCTTGATTCTATCCGTTAATGCAGCCTAGAACTGTGTTGCCTTTTTTGGCAGCTGCTGCACACTGCTGGCTCATATTTAAATGGTTGTCCACTGGGACTCCAAGATCCCTCTCACAGTTACTACTATTGAGAAAGGTACCACATATAATGTACCTGTGCATTTTCTTGATCAGTGTTTCTTAGTTGCAGCATTTTTTTTAAAAAAGATGTGTGGACTTATCCCTTTTACAGGAGTTATTTTTCCCCTCCTAAAATGTTAAAAGCTAATACTATACAGTACACACACCATTGGTGTCTCTTAAAAATCTGTTCCTTTAAGAACAAATATTTTTTCCACACTTAGGGCAGGAGTGCAAAGTGTTGTCTTTTTAATCCTCACCATTATCGCTTTTGGAGAAAAGGGCAGCATTGATGTCCCGGTCCAGGGCATCGCAAGCACTGCTGTGGGCTTGCTCAGGAAACTTTCCTTTGAAATCATCCAGACACTCCAGGGCTTCTGCTACATACTTCAGCTCGAAGAGGCAGCGGGCCAGGCGGAAGTGAGCCTTCAAGTGGCAAGGATTCAGGGAGATGGCCCTCAGGCAGTCTCGGAGCGCATCATAATGATCTCCATCCCTGCAAAAATCAAGTTGGGAATATTGATCCTTTCATTCTCTCACCACCGCTATCACCCAAATAGAGTAGTGTCAGGCCTGCAGCCATCGTTTCTTTTGGATCTTTGGCCTGCCACACTTTCTATTACTCTACTATGCATTTTCTATTGTGGGAAAATGGGAGGGGGGATTGTGTGGCGTTAGATGCTATGTAGCCATAACAAAATTCTTTCTAGAAAGCCAAGGTCATCCTTTGTCTTTGCACCTTTGCACCTGGGCAGAACTGGGTGGGTGGAACTGCCAGCATGGCAGTGGAAGATTGGACCATGTGATGGACTTGTGAGTATTTTTGTTGCAAGATCTTGAACTTTCATCTGGGTGAGGAAAACCAGGAAGTTTTCAGATTAGGGTTCTCCCAAATGTGCCAAATGGCTCTCTTAATAAATTGGAACTTTGAGCAATACTTTGCCTTGGACTCTGATTTATTTTTGGATGCTATTTGGAACCCTGACAGTTGTGGCCAAAATTGTGGAACCCTTTTGTGAAAAGTGTACCACTTTTTTTGAAGTAGTACCATAAAATTATATATCAATGGAAAGATAATTTAATCAACAATGTAATGCAATAACCTTTATGAAGGATTTGCTATTAGAATACCAGTTATAAAGAAGAAAAGTGAAACAATAGAAAAAATGAGATATACAAAGATAATCACCAAAGAAGAAATGAGATATACAAACATTATCACCATGTCAGTTAATACTTAGTTAGGTAATCTTTAGCATGAATTATGGCGTAACAACAGCTTCCCATGGAGTGAACCAAGTTTTTTAGTTCTGCAACTGTTATAATGTGAAACCAAGATTGAATGACTGCTTCGATTAACTAGGTTTTATTGCTGGCTATACTTGGCTATAACTTTTCATAGAATACAGATAATTGAACAACTCTTGTTGTATTACATTACTGATTAAATTATCTTTCCATTGATATATAATTTTATGGTACTACTGCAAAACAAGTGGTGTTATTGGCCATCGAATCTCAAAAATACACTTTTCCCAAAAGATTTCCACAGTTTTGGCCACTACTGTACATATTTGCAAATAGTTGTAGGAAGATGCCTCTGATCTATCCAGTTCAGCCTGTGTGTCTGATTGACAGAGGAAGGAAAGGAAGGGAGTCCCTGCTGAATTTACTCCGCTAGTGTATTCTTCAAAATGAAAAAGGTCTTCTGCAGTCACGACATAAGCCTAAGATTGAAAATCAGGCTTGTCAGATATTACATCTTTTCTATCCTGCTCTACGGGGTGGAGAGTTGGTCTCTAACAGAAAACCATTTGAAAAAATTAGAAGCATTTGAAATGTGTGGATTTACAGGCAGCTGTTACGTATAAGATGGATTGACAAAATCAGAAATGAGGAGATGATTAAGCTGCCTGGGAAGGAAAATCATCAAAGCCACAAAAAAATATTTTGGACATGGGATGCGACACCCGGAAAAATACAGCATATCTGACAGATATGGCACCAGAAGAAGTCACTGATGCCTCTAGGGGCGACGCTCATCTCTGTTTCAAGGCCACTGAGCCAGCGCTGTCCGAAGACATTTCTGCAGTCATGTGGCCAGAATGATGTCAGGGAGCGCTGTTTCCTCCCTATCAAGGTGGTACCTATTTATCTACTCACATTTGCATGCTTTCAAACTGCTAGGTGAGTAGGAGCTAGGCAAAGATGGTTATCACCCCGTCATGCAATGCTCAGGTCTCGAGCCAAGGCTAACAACTTTCCGTCTGACAAGCGCAGCATCTTAAATCATTGAGCCATTGCGCCTCCCAATTATTAGAGGCCAGCCAGTATTTCAGAATCCTATCTGGAAGACCCTATCGATTGAACTATGGATTTCCTATGCGCAAAGATTCACCAAGTGACACAGTATTCCACAATTCCCTCTAAACAGTATCTTGGTTTTATTTCTGTAATTATAAAAACCAAGGTAAACTGGATGAGATATAGTGGATGTCCAAATTCACTCAGCAGAATTCTGATAGGTGGATAGACATCTTGTAGGAATGCAGAAATTAATCTTTCCAATACACAATGAATCCCCATCAAGCTCCTCTCACTGGAGAGCCATCCAGAAGATTCCACAGACTGCTAAAATTGTACTGAGAGCCTCTTATGGAAAACGCACGGGATCTAGAATCTGGATGGAATAATTCTTGAAATTCAATGCAAGTTGGCTAGAGAAGTTGATTGTAACCAGGCCTCCCAGGAAGGGAAGAGCTCACTTACCACTTGCGCTTCATGTAAGCAGCCGCTCGGTTCCCATAGAGCATTGCGTTGTTGGGGGCTTTCTGGACAGCTCTGCTGTAGAGCTGGATGGCTTGAGTCCACTGCTGGCAAGCAAAAGCCTCATTGGCCTGCAGCTTAATCTTCTCGAGATAGGGAGGTAGCTCTACCTGTGGGCTGCAGAAACCAAGAGTTGGTTCACGCGTCAGTCCAAACCATGTTTGGGTTTAGCCATGGCTCACTCCATCAACCATATCTGGCTGGATTGATAACAACACACTAAGCCAGATCAACAAATCAGCTTGAATACTTAAGTCCTAACAGACCTTGGGTAAAAAATGATGTTGTAGTGCAGGGGTGTCAAACTCGATTTCATTGAAGGCCAGATCAGGGTTGTGTTTGACCTCAGGGTGCTAGGGTGGGCGTGGCCAAGGTGGGCATGGCCAGCTCAATGTCACTTGTATCAGGGTTGCCTGTGACAGCCCGAGTGCTCCGCCAGTGAAAATGGGCTCCCGAGCTCCGTTTTTGGCTGCAACAGCTTCCTGCAACCCTCTGCCAGAAAAAATGCACCTTGGGAGGGCTACATGCTGGCAGAGGCACTGTAGGCTGTGGGCTGTCCTTCGCTGTTTCCAGGTTAGATCTAAGCAACCCCGTGGCCTGGATCCGGCCCATGGGCCTTGAGTTTGACACTCCTGCTGTAGTGGGTTTAAGGGACATTTTTCTTGAGGGCCTTTTATTTAAAAAAAATAAATATTTTCATCCCATAACTCAGTTTTTACAGTCCCCGCACCTCCCAAAATAATATAAGTTATGCAACTGCTTCTTGCTGGATGAAACAATTCTTCCTCGTTCTGGCAATCAGCACAATTCCTAGCCAAGCAGTCCCTGCACAAACATGTCATCTAGCCAAAGAGGAGGGGATACTGCACTAGATACTGTGGGTAGAAAAGGAGGCAGGCTTACCTGACGAGGGCTCGTCCCTCAGACAGCCGGAACCCATTGCTGTGGAGATGGATGCCGTTTGACATGCCATTGGCCGATGTTTTCCCATTCTGCACCTCTGAGGGTCATAAAATGAAGTGAGCTTCAATTTTTGTAGCTAAGGCTTCAAACGTTGGTTTTATTGGAATGGTTTATTTAAGCTATTTTTTATTGTATTCTCGGAAGCCATTCTGGGCACTTTGGGGGAAGCAAAGCAATATAGAAATAAAATGATACCGTAGAATCATAAGGAGCGGAATAAGTCTGAACCAAGAGTAAACTGCAAGCGGCAGATAAGCATTCTTCTATTAAGTGCAGTTTTTCAATTTTGGGGAAATTAGCAACCTGGGAGAAGACCCAGCACTACAAGCAAAATAAAAATAAAAATGCTTAATCAGCCTGACATCTAATACTTTAGGAGACTGTAGGTTGGGTAAGACTGGGTTAGGCAATGGATAAATTGACCAGCGAAGATAGATCTGTGTTAGAAGATAGATCCAGCAACCTACCAATTTCACTTTGAATGCAATAACAGATTAACAGAACTGGAAGGGACCTTGTAGGTCATCTAGTCCAACTCCCTGCCCAAGCAAGAGACCCTACACCATTTCTGACAGATGACAGTCCAATCTCTTCTTGAAAGCCTCCAGTGATGAAGCTCCCACAACTTCCAAAGGCAACTTCTGTTCCATTAGTTGATTGTTCTCACTGTCAGAAAATTTCTCCTTATTTCCAGGTTGACTATCTTCTTGGTCAGTTTCCATCCATTATTCCTTGTCTGGCCTTCAGTTGCCTTGGAACATAGCTTGACCCCCCTCCTCTCTGTGGAAGCCCCTCAAATATTGGAAGGCTGTTATCATGTCTCCCCTGGTCCTTCTCTTCACTAGATTAGCCATGCCCAATTCCTGCAACCGTTAGCTGAAAATATTGACCTGTTTATACAGGGGAAAACCGAAAGACAACCCATCTAAGGAAGAGACCTTGGGTGGACTGAGGTGGCTCCATTGCATTTTGCTTGTGTTGAGTACAAACAATATCCAAGTATCCAATCACTACAGTGCTAGATGTCAAAATACAGGTTACAGACATGACATAAATATGCCAATGACAGACTGGAGAGCACAAAAAGATGGAAAGGAAGAAAGAGAAATATTTATTGCTATTACAAATAGTCCTCATCCTATGACTATTTGTTTAGCGACTATTCAAACTTACAATGGCACTGAAAAAAGTAACTTATAATTCATCCTTTCACTTATGATTGTAATAGCAAATCCCCAGGGTCACATGATTAAAATACGGGCACTTGATAACCAGCAAGTATTTGTAATGGTTGCAGCATCCCGGGGTCATGCGATCATCATTTGCAACTTCCCAGCCACCTTCCAACAAGCCGAGTCAAAAAGGGAAGCCGGATTTGCTTAATAACTATGTGATTTACTTAAAAACTGCAGTGATTTGCTTAAGAATTGTGGCAAAATCAGGACAACTCACTTAACAACTGACTTGCTTAGCAAAGGAAATTCTGGTCCCAATTGGGGTTGTAAGTCGAGGACTTATGCCCCTCAAAATCCCAATATCACCTTTATCAAAAAAGGGTATTAAATGTATTAACAAGTAGGATATTCAATATAACTCTCTCTGCTTTCTACTCTAAACAAACAAGCATTACGAATATCTCATTTAATGCTTTTTAGAATGACTTGGGATACTTGCAACCCATCTCCACTTTTCATTTTGCTTTGTATCTTCCTCTCCAGTTCTACAACTTAACTTTTTTTAAACTTAGCATGCTATGAAATAAAGTTGAAATCTATTTGGTAGAGAGATTCACATCTGAAATGTCAGCTGGACATTTCAGATATTGTTTGTTATTTTGCAGATTTTATTTTTCATTAATTTAGATTTATTCTATCAATATTAATTTAAGAACTGTGGTGGCGCAATGGTTAGAATGCAGTACTGTAGGCTCCTTCTGCTGACTGCCGGTTGTCTGTAATTTGGCAGTTTGAATCTCACCAGGCTCAAGGTTGACTCAGCCTTCCATCCTTCCGAG